TTGACTTGGGAGAAACCACCAATGAACCCATAGACTGATTTTTAAATTTCTAACTTCTATAAGAAGACACAGGGCAGGGATGGGGGAGGACCATGGTGAAGAGTTGAAACACAGGTCAGTTTGGAAACCCTGTCTTGGCTAAAAAATAAATCTGAAATGGACCACAGCCTACACCCAAGCCACTTTTGGAATGTCTGTGCCAGCTTGCAAGTCCCATCATCTGTGTACATTTAGGGACTTTTACATAGCAGGTCCTTGACCCTTTGGACTGATCTAAATGAATGTTTGAAGCAGGCCTCCTTGGGATTTGGGGGCCTAACCACAGATTCGTCATCTGAGAAAGCCAGGCTATGAAAGGAGCTAATGTTTACCCACTGTTCTGGGGCCGCCATTTCTCCGTCTTTCCGTCTCTTGAAATATATCCCTGGGGAGAAGTCTACGTTACACAAGCTGGAGGAAGCTTGGGAAAGCATCAAAAAGCACAAATCTGTGTGTACTTGTATAAGAGTCTTTTAAAAAGTCTGGATGGAACCCAAACCAGTCAACGTTGGGGATGTCCAAGTGGAGGGCATGACCTTTAACAGAACAATTCCTGATTCACCTATCTCTTCCAGCAGAGGGAGCTGCTCCGTGATCCTAGTCCTAGGTCCCAATCTGGTGCCCTGTGGAATGAGGGTCATAATGGTGGTGACAGTAACACTCTGGTAGAAAGGAGTAAAGTTTCTTAATATTTTCCTAGGGTCTCCTTGATAAATGAGCACAAACAGGGGAGTTGAAAATAGCAGGAATTTATTTTTCCACATTTCTGATGCCAGATAGCTGAACTCAAGGAGACTCCAGTAGATGGTTCGTCTTTTCCTCTTCCAGTTTGTGGTAGTGGCCAGAGAGCCTCGGAAGGCTTTGGCTTCCGGTTGCATCACTATAGAGTTAAACCTCATGTATCCTTTCACCCTTGATGGGGCTAAAAGGTGTTGGTTTTAGAAACCGTACAGACAACTACAAAATCAACTGGCCTTTGCTGTGACCAGATGGGAGTGATCTTACACCTCTATACCTCCATGTCTCCATCTGTGAAACTGAAGGTGACATTTTTTTTTTTTGTAGTTTGACAGAAGCATATAGACATGACCATCACTCAATTCAACATCGAGGAGACGGACCAGATAAGATATTCTGGCCCACTGGATGCGTTGTGTTGATGTGATAAGAGGGAAAGAATATTTGTGAATCACTTTGGAGCTAAGAATGCAGCCCCAGAGCTCTGTCCACAGGCCTGGCCTAAGAGGAGGTTATTTTCATTCTGTTCTTGAGAGCAGCCTGGGTTTGTAAACCTTGTTTGGGCTGCATCCCCAAACTAAGGAACATTCCTTTTCCATTCATAGGGAAAGGAGAGGGTTAATTAGGAGCAGGCAGAGCTCTCCTGATGCTGCCTACTTCCAGGTTCAGAGGCAAAAGTAAGAAATGAAGGTACCAGCTGATAACCATTCTCAGTCCAGAGGCCAAGTATAGCTGTGCCTCTCGTGAGGACAGGAAACACTCAGGCATCCTTTAGGTGCAGCCTTGTGATCCTTTTGTTATTTCCCTGAAACTAAGCACCATGTTGTTCAAAACGATGGGGAAAAAAAATCAATGCTACCTTCCTACAGGAAGTGAAACCTTTGTGCTTTGCTGGAGGAGAGAGAGGAAAAGAAATAAGCAAAACGTTCCAAGATTTCCCTCTTGTGAAGCCTCTGGCTTGAGTTTCCATCAACTTTTTGTTTCTCCTAAGAATCTTAGTACAGTCTTCTGTTCAGAAAAGAGAGGCCCCTGACTTTCAAACTCTGTTGGAGGCAAGGGGGCTCCTGCATCTGTGTTTATTCCTTAGAGCAAGGTAGTGAAGGGCTTGGGGATCTGTGGGTAGAAGGAACTCAACATTTCAAAAACTCTGTCATTTATACACTAAGGAAACCCTCTGAACTACCCCCAAAAGGAGGCATGCTGCCTATGGGACAGAGGGTAACCTCATGTCTTCCTGTCTTCCACCTGCCCCGCAGTGTCTGCCATTAGCAACTTTAGGTCTTAGGACGGGCTCTTTGGAAAGATTATATAGAAATGAAAGTAGAGTCTAGCTCTCTTGCCTGGGCATGAGGCTACAGGAAGCAGCAAGCAGAAGCAGGGAGAATCTGAAATCTGGGATCCTGTTCCAGACTCCAGAAGTGTGTGTATGTAGGATACAGTATGCTTTTTATTTTCAGGGGTATATGCTGAAACATTGGAATATATTTGCTATTTAATTCTTCTGTCTAATTTGCTCTCTGAGCTACTAATATCTGTATTGACGTATTTTCTTTGTATTTGGGGGGGGGGACAGGGTCATTCTATGTAGATGAGGCTAGCCTCCAATGTGCAGCCACTCTCTGGCACCTGTCTCCTAAGGGCTCACATTAGAGGAGCATGCCACCACGCTCGGTCTGGTGATAGTAGCCTCTTAAAGAGAGGAACCATCAAGTATGAAGAAATCGGTAGAATTAAGGACTGCTTTTTCTCACTTTCCTCATGCATACACTTATAGGCAGGGTTCCGTGTGCCTAATTTTTTTCTATGGGCTATGTTTCTGTGTCTCCTTGAGTCCCACTATCCTCTTGAGAGATTCAAGAAAGAAAGCAATGGCCATCTCAGGTAGGAGGAAATGGAACATTATCTCAAAGTGGCTTCTTCTCTAGAGAGGAACGTGTATAGAGATCAATATGTCTTGTATAAACACATTCTAGGGATTTGCTTTTTGAGTAGCTGCGGGGAGTCGAGATAGGGGCCAGAGGCAATGTAGGTACCTACTGTGGCTAGAACCTTAAGTTTAGGGTGTGGTAGAGGAACATACCGAAAGGGACACACTAGAGTAACTCAGCCTTAGTTTTCAAATGAGTCTGGAAGGCCAGGTCAGGCAGGCTCTGTCTCCCCTCCTGCCAAGCACAGTCTCTTTGGGATTAGCCACCCTCACCTCTGTCTCTGACATTAACATCCTGTGACTGCCTCAGTCTCTCTGTTCTTAGAAAGACTCAGGTCATTTTGCACTCAAAATCCCTGTGAAGACCTGCCTTTTGTTGAGCAGAGCATGGGACAATGTGGGGGAATTCCAGCTCAATCTTCATGTGAAGGTCACCTAAATCACACTGATTTGGAAAATGTTGTAAAGAAAAGGCTTGCTCAGGATGCCGCAGGGGCCCCAGGGGTAGTCAAAGACTTGGCTGTGAAGCATGGCTTTTGTAGACTCTGCCATCCTTCCATCATAGGGTAGTTCTCCTGAAGATGATGATGTGATGCTGCCAGTTAGTGAGCCACAGGAAGACCCTGAAATCATCTTAAGCTGCTCATTGAACCCACAGTGCTTTTCAGCTTTCATTGAGAAGGGGAAAAATTACACTGAAGAAAATCCAGAAAAGGTTAAGCTAGCTGACGAGGCATGTTCAACCTTCAGTGCTATAAGTAGTGGAAGTCACTCCATAAATTATATTTTACATTTGTTTTCAAATTGAGTGTTTTAAGTTTTTGTTAGGACAATTTTATAGATATATGTTATTGTGTTTTGTTTGCATTCACCTGCTATCATCTCCATGTGCGTGTATGTATGTATATATGTATATATACACATATATGTATATATAAATACATATGGACATAATGCATATATCCTAAGATAGATAGATAGATAGATAGATAGATAGATAGATAGATAGATAGATACACTGTTATACAGGATTATCTTATGAGGCAAACTACCATGACCTTCATGAATTCAGTTGGGCCTTTCAAAAAGAAAAACACATCTGAGCTAGATTTATTGATGGTTAATGGATATCCCCTCTTAGAAGGAGAGGCTTAGGAAGGTTTGGAGACCCTCCTCTGAGTATCCAGGCACCCTTCCCAGCCAACTCTATACAATTCTTCCCTAATTGTGTGCAGTCTCCTGGAGAAGCTATAGGATATAGGCTGGGAGGGACTAAAGGAAGGGTGCTCCATGGACACATCTGTGAGGAAGCCATGCTGGGTACAGACCTTACAGTGAGAATGTTCTAGATCACCCAGGCTTCTGCACATCCTGCATGGGCTCACTTTAACTTAACTAATCACATCTAAAAAGACTCTTTCCGACTAAGGCCCATTCTGAATTTCTGGGTGGATATGAATTTTCAGGGACAGTCTTTAATCTCTAAGATATGACACCACTCTAGTCTGCATGTCCAGCTTTGCACATGACAGTCTCATCACTTCAGGCTGTTCTTAGAACTGACAGAAGAAAGAGAAGATTAAGTACCTGGCTTCTCAAAGCTTCTGGTACTTAATCTGACCAGAAGAAAATCTGGTCAGTTACACCTTAGTGCCATGACTCTTGACCCCTTTGAAGACCGTATACCAGATATCCTGTATCATCAGATATACTATGATTCAAAATCGTACCAAAATTCCAGTTATGAAGTAACAATGAAGGTAATTTTGTGGTTAGAGGTTATCATAACATGAGGAACTGTATTAAAAGGCGGTAGCAATAAGAAAGTTGAGAACACTGAGAACACTGGTCTTAGTGTCTCTGTGAAAGGCAAGGTCAGGAGAGAGAGAGAGAGAGAGAGAGAGAGAGAGAGAGAGAGAGAGAGAGAACGAGCTCCCTAGAGATGCCTTCGGGACAGTGGTGACATCAAAAGTGGACCAAGGTATACAGTCATTTAGGGAAGGAAGAAGCCTATCAAGTAAGGGTCAGAATAGATCTCAGTGATGTGAATTTTAAAAAACAAAACCGGAACACCTCTCCTGACAGGGATAACAACAACAAAATGAACGAGATGTCACTATCTTACACAGAAGCTTTTCACATGGTTAACAGACATAGCAGGCAGCTTCCTGTGGCAATCCACAAGTATCTTCTTGATTTTCCACGCAACTGCAACGAGGACCTCATAAACAATAGGGGAAATTCATGGAAATACACACAGTAAGATTAATTAGTGGAGATAGGCACAGTGGGATTGCATTGACAACAGAAGGGAAATCCTTTCTTTCTAGAATTAAGTTAGTGCTTGTGGGATTTGGAATGGGGAACCCAATGCTTCTGCAGGAGACTTTCAAGGAGTGGTACTTGAGCTTTTGGTGAGCCTCCTCTCCCCCCACGCTTCCAAGCAGGCTCTTCATCCTCCTCTTGGCTCTCAGTCATGTCTTCTGAAATGGACCTTTGGCTATATAAACCTCTTTATATAAAATACCACCAGTAGGATTTGTTCCATCCTCCTGAGCAGCGTGAAGATCTAGGGGATGAAAGGGTACCGTCTGTTTCAGGGCAAGGCAAGTCTGGGTGATAATCATATCCCAGAGTCCCCTGGGACATATTGCTATGCTTCTGAGTAACCAACCTGTCTGTCTAGTTTCTTTCCTGCCTCTGCCTCACCTAACTGCACCATTTACCTATAATCTAGGTTATTGTGGGCTTCTCTTAGACCAGGAGTCTGCTTCCTAGATACTGATGCTAAATAGTGTTGGGTACCAATTTAACTAGAAATAAGATTGCTTGTTTTACAAAACCAAAAGCAAAACATAGTGTCTCATGTATCCAAGTCTGGTCTTCAAATCACCACAAAACCAAAGATGAATTTGAATGTCTGATCCTCCTGTCTGTACCTCCTGAGTGCTGGGATTATAGGCATGGGCCACCACAGCTGGTTTCATGTGGTGCTTGGGTTGAATTGAGAGTCCAATGCATACCCTCTATCAGCTAAACTACATGACCAAGCCCTAGGCTGAAGTTGTTCCTGATTCCTGTCTCCTGTGAGCCACTGTCATGCCAGTCCAGCTATCATCATCTCTCCATGGAAAGAACAGTGTGTGTGTCCCAGAATAGCATACAGAGGAGAGCAAAAATGAAGGTGAGGAGAGAGGACCAGGGGAGTAGAGCTAGGTGAAGGGAGGGTGGAACAGGTAGGGATACATGCTGCCCAGGATGCAGGAAAGAAGAACTTGGAGATGGGGGAGGAGGTTGTCAGGATGCATGTGTTTACCTATAGTTTGGAAGTTGAATGGAAAGAGAGAAGGTGGGGGTGCTGCTAAGCAGAAGGTATTAGGTAAAAATGGCCACCGGTCCCAATGCAAAGCACTGATGAGGTGCTGGCGAAGGCGAATGAAAGGTCCTGAGGAGAAGTTTACTGGGAAGCAGAAGGGTATAGAAAATGAAGTGAGCCTTAACACTGATTCTTCATGGTAATCCTGGCTTTATACAACTAACTGTATCCTAGGAAAGGGTTCTGAGTGGCATTGTTTATACATCCCGCCATAAGCACACTGAGATGCCAGCTCTTGAAGTAATCTGTCTTAGGAAAATCCTCTATGGTCCTTTGCACTGAAGGTATACAGTGGGTCCCAGTGTGCTCTGTGGGGCTTTGTAATTTTCTGTCTATGACAAGCAAGACCATTACCCAGGAGGTCAATCAATAATCTCCCTTCAGGACAATCAAGGAGGGCTATGAAGCCTGGGGAACTTCTGACTTGGAACACTGGGATCAGTGTACTCCAAGAATAAAGGGTGACCCCAAGTTCAGTGACTCCGTGCCATTGCTGAGGACATCTGTCTTTTCTACGTGGTGGAGAGCCTGTGAGTGGGCTTTGCAAATACCATGGACCTGACACTAGGTAATGTTTCCTAGAGGTTCTGAGACTGGGGAGTATGAAAGATTCTTTCTCTTACCTTTGAGATTACAGAAAAATTGCCGCTGTATGGGATTGTCATGGAGAATCCATGAGCTGGTCCCTAGTGTCCCCTCCCTCCAGCAACTCATGAATGATGTCACCAAAGGACATCTGAGCTGAGAGGAACTCGGACCTGTGAAGAACCAGCCAGCAAATATTTGTAATTGTTCCAAAATTAGACTCCGGGGACCATGGCAACAGGATAAGAATTATTCTATTTAGTCAACGAAGACCTTTGATATTACTGAGAAGCTTGACGGAAACTTCACAGCTTCAGGGACTGTGTCATCTGAACCTTCCTTCCCATTCAAACGTTAAGTGGGGCAGTGGCTGACAGAACCGCAGCCACACAGCCACACAGCCACACAGCTTTATTGAATCTGCCCCGCTTTTCTGGATTACTCAGAAAAACACAACTTTTCCTTTTCTTCTTTCTCTTTTCTAAGCATGTCTTTTTTTTTTAATCATTTGGGGCTACACACACACACACACACACACACACACACACACACTGCTTCTCTCTTCCTCATCATGTGACTATGTGACTCCTTGTCCACCGTGTGGCTGACCTCCATGCCAGCTTAAATTCTCAAAGTCGATTTGACAGGTGTTTTGTGGGGTGTGCTATTGTATCCCCCAGGAGCGGTATTTTATCCTCCGAGAAGAGGAACGGTATATAGAATCACAACATTGGTTTCTGGGCAGACGCTGGGCTGTCAGCTAAGCTCACTAATGCATTCAGAGATTTCTTCTTGCTCATTACCTTCATCGAGGGCATTTTCTATATTCATGCAGCAATGGGAATAACAGGCTATGGGGGAAGTCACAGGATCGCTCACAAAACAGTCAAAATTCCCAAATTCTAAATCTGTACCCGCTGAGAGTCTATTGAATAAGGTTCTGAGCTCTAGGGTGGAGGAGAATAGGGACAGTTCTGATTCATCTCTGACAGTAACAGGCTGAACTGCAAATACCTTGCACACACCATAGAACAAGTGTGTGTGCATATGTGGATGAATGATAGAGGGGTGGGTGGATAGACAGGTGGATAGATAGATGGTAGATGGAAAGGTAAATGCAAGTATGTATATATGTGTATATGTATGTGTATATATGTATGGACATGTATGTATGGATAGGTTGGGACAGATACATGGATGGCTATATCGTTTGATGGGGTAAGTAGACAGATGGGAGGATGGATGGATGCATATGTGTATGTATGAGTAAATGGATGGACAGAGGTGTGTATGCCTGGAATAATGGCTAGAGGCATTCATATAAGGACATAAGGTTGGGTGGATGGATAACTAAATGAACAGATGGATGTGGATGGATGGATGGGGTTGATGTAAAACACTATCTAGTGAGTCTTTTAAACTCACTGATGTGAAAAGAAATGCTTTTCTCGAGAAGCACATCACATTACACTAGGTGTAAGAAACTTTCACGTAGCTCTTAAGAAGCACATATCAAATGTACTACACGTGGCCCAAGAGTTAGCAAAAGCTTATTCTGTTTTAAAAACTCTTTGACGTTGATTTTAAAAATACATCTGTTTCCAGATTGGTGTACACATAAGTTACTATATTTTACAAAAACAAAACAAAAAAGCAAGCAAACAAACAAAACCATAGACTGGGCACAGTGTGGACTACCTATAGTCCTAGGACCCAAGAAACAGAAACAGAAGGGTCACCACTTGAAGGCCAACCTGAATGACCTACACATAGATGACTTTGTCTTAAAGACAAAACTGAGTACCCCAAAAGCTTATAGCCCCAAACTTATACATGTGTCTCCTTCACTTCATTTTGTGTTTTCACAATTACTAATAGAACAGGAAATATGGATTTTTCTGCTTTAGGAAAAAAAATGGTATAAAATCTCCCCCTTGAAAGCACATTCGGCAAGTCATTAGGGCTGTCACAAAATTCTTCGTAGTTTCTGAAAAGTGTCCAAATATGGTAGTGTTGCCACAGCCAATTGCTCAGCAGTTGCCACAGACTCAAGGGCTGACAAAGAACTAATATTTTGAAAATGAAAGTATCTAAGGGCCACACAGACATACACCAGAGCTCCAGATACCGTGTACCTGCTCTTGGCTGCTATTAGACCTTGGGCAAACACAACAGGATTTTTACCACATTGTTCTACTTTACCATTGGATGGGAGAGCCTGTCTCCCAGCCAGTTATGGTGGTTGGGGGAATCAGCATTCCACTTATCATACTTGACATTACCTCGTCTCAAAAAATAAAACAGAGTGGTGGTAAGGGAGGAGCTTTTGAGTGCTATTTTATATTGATCATGTTCCTACAAGTTAGTGTGTGTGTGTGTGTGTGTGTGTGTGTGTGTGTGTGTGTAGAGGCTAGAAGTCAATGTTAGACTCAGATAACACGTGAGCCTCTAGACACGCCTGTAAGGGAGCATCCAGAATAGGATACCCTCTGGGAATGTCTATGAAAGACTGTCTAGATTAGCTTAACAGAAGCAGGAAGATTCACTCCAGATATGAGTAGCATCAACCCATAAGCTGGGGTCCTAAACTAAGCAGAGAGAAGAATTGGAGCTGAGTAACAGCCTCTGCTTCCTGACACAGACACAGTATAACAATGGGTTTCTACAGCCATGATGTCCCTGCTGTGATCAATTAGATCCCCCGGAACTGCGAGCCTACCCACATCAACCTTCTTGTCTTAGTTGCTTTTGTCAGGTATTTTGTTGCAGCCATGAGCCAAGTAACTGACGTACTGACTGAGCCATCTCCACAGTCCAAGGAGTTATTTTACTAAAACAACTGTCCTGACCTGTGTGGCAAATCCACAGGTAGAAATGGCCACTACCAAGTAGTTATTTAGCATAGCTTTTATAATGTTTCGGCCAGAGAACAAAAGACATGTACAAGCCACCACCATCCCACTTATAACCCATCCAGGGCTCTCTGCCCTACACAAGGTCTTGCTATGAGAGATGCTTTACTTTCCGTCCTGTCATGTGCATTCTGAAAACAGAAAAAGGCCAAGGAAATTTACTATTGCCTAATAACTTGAAGACAGATGCCAAGTTCATGGGCAAATCATGCCTCCAGGGAGCCCATTGTACAACCATAAAATACCCACTTGGTAGCCATATGTGGAACTTAAAGCATGAAAAAATTTACCCCAAATCTTTAGCTGTAAGTCATGGCTGACACCTGAAATAAAAGGAGAGCTAGGCAGAAGGCAGAGACGTTTCCAGTTCTTCGATATTTGTCAAGGGCGCACCCTCATCTCCATGTTGAAGATCAGATTCACACTGACATAATAAGTTAATAATGATGGTGGTGGCTTTCTAAGAAAGGTTAGGAAGTGGTGTGCAAGCCTGGCGTCACAGAAAATGTCAAACTTTCCACTTGAACTCCCGTCTCTCAAGGACGGCACTTTACTCTGGGGAACGGCTTGGTGTTACAAGGGCTCCACCTGAGCGTTCCACCCGTACCCTCTCTCCTTTTTTGCTCATCCCTCAGCTCTCACCTGGACTCATTACTGTGGAGAACTCCAGATCCAGTCTCACTGAAAATCAGTTCTTTCCAGCCAACAGTCTGAGCCTGGATCTCCACAAGGGGCACGAAGCTCTCTTTACAGATTGCAGATTTGCATGGTAAAAATAGACACTCAGCGCATCACATGTCTATGCAAATTTCACCAACCAAACTCAGTGCTGAAAATAGTTATTTACTAGTTTGCTTGCATATTGGCCCAGAAAACCCTCTACACCTATTTCATGCTCATTTAAATTCTTTAAGAGTCCCTGACCCATTTACATTTCCTGAGGGATGCCTGGTTTCCCGTGGACATTTGTTCGTGCCTCTTCTGGTGGTACTTAAAAATATATTGCCAGCCATTGCAGATCAGGTCGTGGAGAACTGCATAGGCCCCGCTTTCTGAAGGTCCAGGCTGAACCTTGCTTTGTCAAGTACCACTGCAACCTTAGTGTCATGGCTTCTTCTGCACGATATGTGTGTCTACTTGTTGCATACGCTTTTGTGAGTCCATGTGGAAGCAAAAGGACAACCTTAGTGCTGTTTCTCAGGAGCTGACCAACTCTTTTGAGACAAGGTCTCTGTCTAGCCTGGAGCTCACCAATTTGACTATGCTGGCTTGTCAGTGAGCCCCAGGAATATGCCTGTTTCTGCTTCCTCCCCAGTGCTGGGATTATGGGAAACCACCAGGTCTGGTTTTTTGTTTTGTTTGTCTTTACATAGGTTCTTGGGATAGAATTTAGGTCTTCAAGCTTGCAAGACAAATACTTTACCCATGAAGCCACTTCCCAGCAAGGGCCTTCTCTTGTGCAATCGTTCAGACAAAGTGGAAATAGAACCTCAGTACAAACATTTGGATAGCTGGAGGACAATCCCTCCTAGTCTGGTCCTTGGGAACACACATTACAGCCAACTGGGTATTGGGTGGAAAATGGGAGGAGATTTGTAAACAAGGAAAGCTCTTGGTGTCTCTCCACAGCCACTGAATCTGAATGTCATAGGGGTAAGACATGGACATTGCTGTTTTAAGAAGCTTATTACAGTGACCTCCAAACCAAGATAGCAACTCCAGGTCTGACAATGTGACATTTAAAAGCCAAAGTCTGTTGAAGTCTGTGTGAGGCCAGAGGGTTCCATGGAACTTAACAAACAAGTGAGGTTACTGGTATCTTTTAGGAGGGTGTGAGAAGCAAAAGTGACTTTGCAAAATTTGCCACTGCATGTAGATCTGCATTTGCAATTCTCTCAGGAGCCTTTCTGAGACTCACTGGATGAGCCCCTGGCCCTTTACATGGGACAGCTAATCATTTCTTGTTGCCCATTAACCCGAGAAAAGAGATTCTTCCCCATCCTGATATTTATGGGCTTGGTAGAATCTGTAAAACTTGACAGTGTGTGTTCAATTCCTGGCTCTGCCACACACCGGTGACTTGAGCTTGTCAACTCTGAAAGTGAATAATGACAATTCCTACCTAGAAAGGTTGTTCCTCCAAGAATAACCCAGACACCTTTCCAGGTCAACAGTCAAGACAAGTTTGGATGCCAAGTACTGTGGAGAAGCTACTTGACTATGTTTACTGAAGGGAGAAACCAAAGTTACCTCATTTCTATGATGTTCCTAACATCCAGTAGCAAGTATGCTACAGTCTGAAGTTCTGTGTCAACTGCTTAGTAACTACTCTTTTGCCTTGCTGAACTTTTATCCTTTCAAACATACAATCCCATTCCTCAGATACTCCTCACACCCATACTAACAGATCCATATCCTCCTGAACAGGGAATAGCCCATGTAGGGGAATAGTGATCATGCACAGATGTGCTAGAGTATCTCAAAGAGCCAAATGATGCTCAGAGCTGTCCACAAACACATTCCTGCTTGCCAGTGATCATAGTCATAGGAGTTCAATCCCAGAAACCCAAACAGTCTCCTGTAAATTATCATCCTCTGGCTTCCATGTGCATGAGTTGGCATTCCCCCAACCGGCAATAAATAAATTAATGTAAAAAATGTTTAAATATAAACTAAATAAATGCCTGTAACATATTCTTACTCAATACACATCGCAAAGTGCAAAGATGATGGGGCAAATCTAAGCTTCAGTTGGGTGTAGGGTGGCGGTGGGTAGGGATATTTTGAAAACCTACTAAGAACCTAACCTGAGAGTGATCACCCTGCAGTTTGTCAGCAGGATCCAGGATAAGCAAAGAGGATCAGGGAGTGAAGCACAAACACATTCCAGAAATGGCTTTGTTTTGCTCCATGTGCTGTGCCCCCTTCCCCCTCTTCTACAACAACAGAGATCTGTGCAATGACTGAGGGTGGTTAATTAAGCATTGCAGCCCATAGTCCACTGCAGTTTCAATTGGATATGGTGTTCTCTCTCACTTCCTGTTTTGCAGGATTGCTGAGGGCTGTCAGACACCTGCTAGGCTCAGGGCCCAGCTGCTGTTCTACAGCAGGCAAAGAGGAAGCCCTCCCGGGCCCTCAGCCTTGAGAGGGTTCAACTCTGCATACCAGTTCCTTCCCTGGGAGGCAGGGTCTGGGTAGACACAGCTGATGTGAGGATCGGCAGCTGGCAGGGTAGACCTTGTTCTATTGTGTGGATGGTGGCATGAGGCCCAGGGCTATCATTCCATCCCTCATTCCCTAGAGTCCTGCCATGACCTGCAGATAATGAAGGTGGATACATCTACCCAGGCAGGAATAAGACATCAATTTCTCTGTATTCCAAATCACTGGGAAAAATTCCCATGCAGAAGAAGCATCATTCAGTTAAACATTGAATTCTTTGCGTTCTCTCTCTCTCTCTCTCTCTCTCTCTCTCTCTCAGTGGTTTGTCTCCTTATGAAAACTTCTTAAGGGTTAGGTTCTCTATGCTAGGCAGTGGCTAAAGACAAGTCATAGTTTGACAAACTCCTCTTCAATGATGCTAGCTAGCCCTCTTAGCCAAGGGGCCATTTTCCTTAAAATCTGCTATGTGCATACCTAATGAGTTCTGGCTCCTTTATTTAAAGAACTGACTTCTGACTTCCAGGAGAAGATTGTGTTCTCTACCCAATCAATTCATAGCAGAAAGCAGAAGAGAGAATCCCTGAGACAGGGGAATTGGGAGAAGAAGAGTTTTCTCAAAGACAAACCATCATAATAGATTAAAGAAGGCCAAGGTATCTTTGACATGTCTGCCATCAACAAATGGGCTCAGGAGATAGAGATATGACTTAGTAGTTAGGTGCGTACACTGTTCTTTCAGAGAACCTACACTGGAAGCTCACAATCACCTGAAACCAATACCCTCTTCTGGACTCTGAGGGCACTTGTACTCACGAATGGCCACCTCCATACTCATAAATTAAAATAATTTAAAAAATGAAGTAGGGTCCATGTTTCTTGGATGACCTGACACTGGGCAGTTAAAGTGACATTATGTCAATTCTGTCATTTGGGGGAGTTTTTTTTTTTCTTTTCCCTCACAGAGCCACCAGATGTAGACCCCTGGGCTACCAAGCTGTAAGGAAACCCAAGCTAGAAGTCCAGATAAGTCACATGAAGACATAGTCCCTTGACTGGGCCCCTGGCAATCCATTGGCTTTTAGAGTTCTTATAGGTCAGCATCCAACATCATTCTATGCCCTGCACGTTTCTGACCCAGAGGGGCTTTCTATGCAATAGTACTGGCCAGCTTGGAACCCTTATGATTTGGGTGGGTGGGGGGTTCTTATGCAGAAGTGAATGACTGACAGAGGAGACGGAATCTCTCTACATGATTAAACTGGAAGGCCATCGGAGATGCTTAGATGAGACACTGAGAGAGAAAAGATGAAACTGTACACTGTCACCTCTATGACTCATGTGGGAAGCTGGGGACTGTCTGTCCACCCCCTGTGAGAAAGAACATAAAAGAAGCAGATAGGTACAGTTGGAAGGTGATACCCAGAGGGAATGATTTAACTAGACAAAGTTTCAAGACCATTTTAGAATCTGTGTCTAAGACAGGGGTTGTGCATGTGTGTGTGTGTGTGTGTGTGTTTGTGTGTGATGTGTGGAGGGGTAAGGGTTGTCCATGAATACACAGTGGCTGAGAACACCAGACAAGGATCTCCAGTGCAGACACTTACTTTTTATAACAGCTTTGCAGAGGACTATAAATGGGGGCACTTCATGCCCATTTCAGGGCTGAAGAAACTAAGGTTTAGAGAAGTGGAGTGATTCTTCAGTGATGTCACAGGGAAGCAAAGTCAGCTTGGGCTCCCTCTGCTCTTAGTCTCCTACAGTCAATCCCGGGAGGAAGGGAGGGGGGGCCACCCCCCCATGGATGAGTCAAGAGCAGAACACTTGTCTTTAAAATCCTCATAAAATCCCAAATCTTCGACCCCACAGGCAGAGAAGCTACCTCCAATCAGATAAGAAAGTTATCTCCCCTGGCAGCTTACAACAGAGGGCAGAGTATTCAACAAGGCCAACTCTTATCTGATAAGAGATATGGCCACCTTTACATATTAATTTCCCTGAACTCATTAAGGCTCAACTCTACAGTTCTCCAGGACTGTGCCCCAAAGGGAGAAATCTTTTCTTTCTAAACACCCTTTTCAGTTGAAGGTACTACTGTAGGTCCGAGAAGGTTACAATTGCCAGGTATGTGTGTGTGTGTGTGTGTGTGTGTGTGTGTGTGTGTGTTCCATGCATGTAGGCCAGATGTTAATGTGTTAATGTTCGGTGTCTTTCTCTATTAATCTCCAGTTTAGCTTCTGAAACAAGGTCTCTTATTGAAACTAGAGCTTGGTGATCCAGCCAGGTTGGCTGTCAGCAAGCCCTGGGGATGTTCTTGTCTCTGCTCTCAAGTTCTGGTATTGTAGGGCACATACCACACCAGGCTTGTTCCATTGGCATAGGGGATCGACCTCAGGTCCTCCAGCTTGCATAGCAGTAGCTGACTGAGGAAGACATGTCTCTACCCTTTTAACCTCTTTTTGTGGGAAACAGTACCTCTCTATGTAGCCCAGGCTTGCCTTGAACTTAAGACTCTTCTGTGTCTACCTCAAAAGCATGGGAAGTACAACCCTGTGCCTTCACATCTGGCTCC